TAGGATGCAGGACTGCTTTTGGTGCATATTTTTGGAAGGGAGAATGTTATAGTCCATTTTGTATTGCTATTACAAAATACCCAAGGCTGGGTACTTTATAAAGAAAACAGACCTATATAGTTCAAGAGGTTAAAGAACTTGTACCAGCTTGGCTCCAAGGAAGACCTCTGAGTGGATGGCAGCCCAACGGTGGAAGTATATATGGAAGTGTTCACATGGGAAGAGAGGATGCAAGAGACCAGGCAGGGGCCAGGCTTGTTCTTTTTATAACAACTTGTTCTTGTAGGAACCAATCCACTCCTACTAAACCTGACTCCCAAGGAACAGCATTAATCCATTCATGAGTGTTGAACCCCAATGACATAATTATCTGACACTAGTCTCCACTTCTTTAAGGTTACATCACCTTAACGCCACCAAAATGGGGACTAACTCTCTTTCACAAGAACTTCTGGGGGAAAAGCCATATCCAACCATATCAGGGAGGTAGTTCCAGGTACTTTCAGTGGGGATTTCTGCTAAAATAACCCTTATTTCACAGGTAAGATAATCAAAGACGAGATTCTGCCAACTACTAAGTATGTCTATTCCCACCATACATTCGGAGACAGGACATGACTACAGGATGGGTCCACAATTCAAGTAAACTATCATAAGGCAGACTGTGACCACAACTCCATTTATTACCTGACATCCATAGATTCTCACCTTGATGGTGTTCAGAGTGGTATCTTATATTTTTGTGGATGAATCTCCATTCAGAACAGGTTTCTAGTAGCCTGAAGCATTTATGTATATCCTTTGCCCCTGTATGATTAACTTTGTAAATGGCTGTGGATCCTTTTGGGGAAGACTTGGTGGAAGATCCACTGGGTATACTTGAGGCCACATTGCCATCCAATTAAGGAGCTCCATATCTATGAATGCCTTAGCACTGGGACCTAGGGAAAAGGCTGAATTCCTATTGGGAAGAGAAAACTATGACACATCATCCAATTGATTGTTTTTTCTAAGATTTACAGTGCCAACCTCCAAGGTTCTGGGGCTTTGATGGTTTTAAGATAACAGCATTTTTTTTCATTGCTGTCAATTCAAGTTTAGTAGTTATTCATTTAATTTAGTTTGACTCATCCCACCTGATACCAACTAGAACATGTGACCTATTTGCATCATATTTCTTCCAAGTCAAATGACTTGCCTAAATTAATGGAACAACAACCCCTTGTCAAAGACTAATTCATATATTCAGCAGTGCTGTCTGGGTCGTGCTGCGCCTCAGGGTGTTGCCATGTTTATTCTCTGTGGCATCTCTTCTTGAATGGAAAAAACTGGATAAAGGCCAAAAAGAGATTTTTATTCAGTCCCCAAACTCCTGAATATGGTCCAGAAGAGGTAGTTTGCCTATTTTAAATCTGTATATAAATGGGATTATATACTATGTATTCTTTTTAAAATGTTTTTTTATCCAATTTTATGAAGCCATCGAACCCCTGGTCTTGCACATGCTAAGCAAGTGCTGTATCACCTGGTCCTCTCTTTTACTGTTGATAGATATATATAGGCTTCCAGTTTGGGACTATTGTGTATAACACAGTTTTGAACATCTTTATATATGTCTTCTGTGTACCTATGTGTGCATTTTTTTCTAAGATGGTGGTTCTCAAAGTGTGGTCCTTGGACTAATAGTATCAGTATCATCTAAAATTTCTTTAAAATGCAAAGCCTCAGGTTCCAGACCTACCATGAATACAGTGGCACCATTATTCTCCCAGGTAGAATATATCTAAATTCTCTCCAACGAAATCCAGTCACTTGTATTAGTTTTCTAGGGCTGCCTTAATAAAATGCCATAGACTGAGCTTAAGCCACAGAAATTTGTGATCTCACAGTTCTGGATGCTGGCAATATGAAATCAAGGGGTCAGCAGGGCAGACAGGGAGAATCTGTTCCAAGTCCCTCTCCATGCCTTGTAGATGGCAAACTGTCACTTTGCTCCAGTGATGGAGATGTGGGGAAGGCCATTTAGAGGTCACAGAGGAGAACTTAGATTTTTAGGATAAGATTGACAAAGTTTGTTGGGGAGGGGGCACTTGTAATGTAGAGAGAATGGCATATACTGGGCCCCTGGAGCATACACCCTCTGGGCACATTTGGGAAACACAATTAGGACTGAATTGCTGGTACAAATAGTTGACAGGATGGGGTAAAGCACCATGGCACTGAGGAAATTGATAAGACAAGAACCTGAATGCTCCCCGGGCCGGATAAATTGCTTGAATTTTTCCCTGATAACAGATGGTTAGAAAATGATTTATAAATAAACTCCATGGCAGTGAACATTTTGCCTTATTCCACAACTGTATCCCCAGTGTCTAGAAGAGTGTCTAGCATGTAATAGGTTTAGTTTGGGTTGAGCCAAAATAAATAAGAAGTTGGATTCAGGTAATTTGTGTGGGAGATGATCCCAGAAATCACTTTCCTTTGAGGCAAAGAAAGAAGAAAAGTCAATGAAATTAAGTGTGAGGTTGAACAGGTTACAGCAGTGGGCAATGGGGCTGAGTATCACTGTGGACCCTTGGAAGAATCATATTGAATACCCCTCAGAATTGTCTGTGGAGGGCTGGATAACAGTCCAACGTGATTCAATTGCACTAAATTTTGTTCTTTACTGGTTGAGAGTTGCCTCTGGGGGTATTAAATCCCAGGGACTTCAGGGTTGTTTGGAGCATAGAGAGGCACACACCTGGCTTTCTAGAAAACTTGCAGGATGAGAAGCAGGGTGTTCCAGGGCATGAGATGGGGAGGTGGTAGCACTGTCCATCGTCAGCTGTGGATGGAGAGATGTGAGCCGGGGGATATGAGGCAGGGAAACTCCACCCTGTGATTACCTGAATGGCACTATGGTATATATGGTTAACTTCTTTGATTATTCTTTGAGGTTTCTGTGTTGGGGGGATGGTACTTGGGGTTGAACTCAGGGCCTTGCACATGCAGGCAAGTGCACTACTGCTGAATCCCAACCCTAGCCCTTTCTGACTATTCTTTCTTTTTCTTTAAAATAAAGGCATTAAATATACATATTTTAAAATAGATATGTATGGTTCTCCTTGAAAGTAATTAAGATCATTAATTGGAAAGAAAAAAAATATCTGTACAATGAAATTTGGAACCGCCAGGTAACAGGAGCTGCTTAATCCCGTACTGTCCCTGTTCCCCTCGATGGCACAGCACAGAGATGGCGTTCCTTTCATGGTCCCAAACACATGCTGTAGACAACAGAGAGTACCTGTAAGGATCTGTAATGTGGACAAAGGGCCCTCCTCAGAATGAACACTGGAAATAGGTCAGTTCACTCTTCTGGGGACGGTGTCTATACAGCCTCTAACAAAACCAGGCTGACCCAAACCCCTGCTAATATAATTGTTTACCTTTATACAAAGAAAGTTGGGAAAGCACCAAAATCTGCATGTGGTGTGTGCCCAGGCAGACTTTGAGGGGTTCATGCTGTGAGACGTAAAATCCTTATGGGATTATCTAAAACAAACAAACAAAAAACATGTCAGCAGGGCCTATGATGGTTCCATGTGTGCTAAATGTGTCCGAGACAGGATTAAGAGTGCTTTCTTTATTGAGGAACAGAAAATTGTTGTGAAAGTATTGAAAGCACAAGCCCAGAGTCAGAAACTAAATAAAACAATGAAGCTTCTTTGAGCAATAAGAAAAAAGAAAGAAAGGAGTAGTTCAGCTCGTTGTGCTTGGCCTTGTTGGTCTTGTAGGTGAGCAGGGTCAAGGGCTTTTCTCATGGGGGAGACTCCTGAACACCCACAAGTGCATGAAGTTTTTACCACCAGTGTTCACCTTGATGAAAAAGTTTGTGCCTGCCACCACCTGGCTCCTGAAGGACACAGCCTTAAAAACAGGGAACTTCTGGTTTTCTTTTTCTTCCAGCTGGGACTTCACCTGGTTGGTGATGTCCTACGTCTTTGCTGTGGCCATCTATGTGGCTCTGGGAACCTGGCACATGCTGGTGGTGGAGCGTATAGCCAGGTGAGAGTATGGAACCAGGCTGATAGGACCAAATGGCCCTTCCTGACTATTCTTAACAATCTTTTTATGAGGACAGGAACCGAATACACTCATAGAATCAGGCACAGTGGAGCATAGGCTTACCAAAATGCAAGAATGAATGAGAAAGAAAGTTGTAAGGGGGAAATACGGATGAGTGGCTATCGTTAGTTGATTTGATGAGAACTGGGAACAAAGGGATATGACTGGTCTAGTAGTTTTGGGTTTAGCTATGTCCTTGAAGTGAGGGTAGGCACAGCGGTATGACTGAGACTCTGTGTTACCAAGAACTAGTCAGTAAATTTCTCTGGATTGTTTAACTGGGTGAGATGTGGTGTGGCCATGTCCCAATTCCTTAGAGCAGTCCAATCTTGATACCTGCCTGTTTGCTTACATCTATGAGTATCCAATGAATATAAAAGTGCTTTGAGGAAAATAAAGCTCTGCAAATAGAACCTTCTCGTGTTCGGTTGGGCTGAGCATGGGTCATCAGATTTCCCACTCTCTTTTCTGTTCTATTTTGCTTTGGTACTAGGGATTCAACCCAGGGGCACTTTACTGCTGAGCTATACCTCCAGCCTTTTCTCTTTTGAGACATGGTCTTTCTATGTTGCCTAGGTTGACCTCAAATTTATAATCCTTCTGCCTCAGCCTCCCAAGTAGCCGGAATTATAGGCATGAACTTCTATGCCTGGCTTACACTCCCTTTTATTGAAAAAATTGATTGATTGATTCTGAGGATTGAACCTAGGGCCTAGAACATGCTAGACAAATGCTCTACCACTGGACCACATCCCCAGTCCTCCCACTCCTTTTTAAGATGTTAAACTATCAGAAGCAAACCAGCAATTACCCTTAAATGTTAAATGTGTACATACTTTGATCTCAGCACTGCTCGGTTAACCCTTGGGGGCAGAATGGATGGGAAAGCTCTGTCAGGGCTGGAGGTGAAGATCTTCATAAGACTGCAGGTCTAGGCCTGTGTGGCATGAGGGATGGAAGGATGACTGGTGGCAAATATGGAGCCCATTTCCCCATAACTTGGACAACCGGACCACACATCTTGGCTAGGATGTAAGTGGGGAAAGCTGTCATTCCAGCTGTGTCCCACTTTCCCTATTTCAGGAATAACCAATGGAAGGAAAACCAGACAGAAGCCAGCCTTCTACCAGCCTCAAGGACTTACCCCCACTTCTCTCTCTTGAGAGTCTTTGGCCAGTTCCACCTCCCCCCCAATTCTCCTTCAAGACAAGCTCACAGAAAGAATCACATAATTTAATGATATTTGGGTCATCAAAGAACTGCCCCTCTGAAGGGCAATGGTGAGGGCACTGAGGAAGGAAAGCTTCATATGAGGTCTCAATCAGCAACAAGGCTGTGGCCTGCAGTAGGAAGTGGCCCAGAGTATTCCTGAAAGAGAAGAAACAGGGATTAACCTGGAGTGTTAGTCCCTCTCACATGTCCTCCTTTTCCAAATGCTTCAATAAAGTAGGATTTAAGTAATTCTTTTTTGCAATGACTCAGCCCAGCAAGTGACAGCTTGATCCTTGGCTCCCACATATAGTTCCTCTTCCTGCTGTGATTCTCCCTCAGGTTGGGGGCTGGAGAAGAATGGCAGCACTTTGTTTGCATTCTTGAAAGTACCACGGCAACCAATTCCCCACAGGTAGATCCTTGTCACTTATCTCTGATTATGTTGCCCTGGCAACCAATCCAGGTTTAAGAAGCCCAGCTGCCACTTTATGGGAGTAGAAGCTGGTTTCCTGGGAGAACATGAAGGGCTGAAATGCAGGTGGCCTCTAGATGAAGGGTGTGGCCAGTGGAGGGATGGTGCCTGGATCCACTGCGACCACCCAAGTCCAAGCAACCTCCATCTCCCTGGACCAGGTCAGCTGGCCTCTCCATTTTCATTTTTACTCTTCTCAACACTGATTCTCCAACATCACTAGAGTGGCCTTTTAAAATCATATGTAAGGTTACAATATTCCTCTCCTTAAAATACCCCAGTTAACTTCCTACTGTACTTAGAATAATATCCAAACCTTTCACTGTGATTCATGAGACCTCAAGTGATCAGTCCTGGGCCTTCTTCTCCAACTTCATCTTATGATAGTGACTTTTCTCTGTTCCTCTGATATACCTTAGTATTCTAGTCTTAGGGTATCTGTGGTTGCAATGATTTCTGCCTGGGATGTCTCTCCTTTATATCTTCTGGATTTCACCTTCTGATAGTTTAAGTCTTAGTCCAAAGAAAGCAATATGGAGGCTTCTGATGTTTGGAACAGCCTCACCCCTGCTACAGTCCTTGAGAGGAAGAGCAGGACCTATGTAGGGGAAAGAACTGGAAATCATGAGACCTGGGTCCAGTCCTGGCCCTGCCATGAACATTATGCAATCTTGACTAAGTCTTGTAACCATCCTGGGCCCCAATTTCTCATCTATAAATATAGGTGGGAATACTAGATGAGTGGTTTCCAGTATAGATTCTGAAGAGTTCAAAGATCCTAAAGATCTTTGACAAGGAGATATCTCCGAGCCTTACTCAGGTGACTTGCCCAGGCCACAGAGTAGAGCAAGGCAGGGACTGAATATGAGGCCTCAGGGCTGTGTTTCCCACTTATCCAAAGGAGCTTTGCTATCACTTGATGAATACAAAGGAGTATATGATAAAAGGAGGACCCTCTTATCTAATTTTGAGAACTCTGAAGATTTCAATGCCTATTGTAAATTCAATGGCCAAGTGAGTTATGGTGGCTTACACCTATAATTCCGGCTGAGGCAGGAGGATTGTTAAGTTCAAGACCTCAACAACTTAGTGAGACTGTCAACAACTTAGCAAGACACTGTCTTGAAACTTAAAGTAAAAAAGGACTGGGGATGTTGCTCAGTGGTAAAACACCTCTGGGCTCAATCCCTAGTACCACCACCACCACCACCACCAACAACAACAACAACAAACTCAATGGTGATGAATGGTCTTGTAGTTCATCTCCTTAGAAGTTCTCAGCACCTGCACCATGTCCCATTCCTCACCTCTCATATGGATGTCTTATAGGTAGTCTGTGAGAGATACAGGAAAGCAGGATTATTCTTTGTCAGGGAAAGGAAAAAAAATTTTTTTCTTCACTTAGTTGTTATCACCCCAATACCCCATGTCTCTTTCACACCTGCCACTCTCATTTAAACAAGTCCTTGATGATTCCAACTTCCTTAGAAAAAATGAGTCCCACACCTTGATGGGATTGGTCACCTCTTGTTTTAGGGCCTTTGGAACCACTTTGGAGGTTACACACTGATCTCTGTTCAACTTGGACACTGGGCTCTATAGGCAAGAAGGCAGGAGTCAGAAAGGAGGCAGAAAAGGATTAGAGGATCCCAGGGGGAAAGTAATGGGTTCAAAGTCAGGGATTCATAATTCCTGGGAAGATGCATGAATCTCACCTTGGGAAATAAGAGTTGAAGCTTTTCCTCTTGCTTGCCCCTAGAAGACACAAGAATGACAGTGGGCTGAGGCTTGCTAACCCACCAACCCCCTTTTTCAGGCATAGCTAAGTATCATGGGATTATTCCCTGATGGTCCCCAAAGAGACTTCTGAAGCATTCACCCCATAGTACTCCTGGTAGCTCCTACTCACCATTTTAGGACCTGTTCCTTCCCTGCTCTGTGTCTGCCAGATAGCAAGGGCCAACCACAGGCCTCACATACCTCATTGCAGTGGTTTTAGTGGGGAAAACTGCCTTTCCATCCTTCATGCATGCATCTTGGGGGGGGAGTAGGCTGATGTGCTTCATCTTTTGGGTCATCACATCCTGGGTGGTGTCATCCTTCCAAAACAGACCTGCAGGGTGAAAGGATGGAGTGAGTTGCCACTTGGAACACTGACAGGGATCATGGAGAGGTTTCCCTCAAGTATACATGGGATCACATCGTGTGGAGAAAATTAAATAAGACGGTGTATAAAAGATGCTTAGCTTAATGCCTGGCATGTAATATTCAATTAAAATTCTGATTAGTTTCTTTGCTGATTCATTTGATGCTACCGTGAGGATTAAATGAAATTAGCAATGTAAAGAGTATTTAGAAAACTCAGAGGCAGTAATTCTCAAGCTTTAGGATGCATCAAAGTATCTTTCAAGGCTTATTAAAACTCAGATTCCTGTTCTCAAAATTCAGAGTTTCTGATTCAGTAGGTCTGGGATGGAAATCAAGAATTAATATTTCTGATGAGTTCCCTATTAATGCTGGTGTTGCTGGTCTGGGATGCACTTTGAGAACCACTACTCTGAGACATGATAAGGACAGTAGGCATTAGCAGTAGTGATATGAACTTAAGGCAGATTTTCTATCTGACTTTCCCCTCCCCCATTCACAAAATTCTGCTCGAAGGAAGGATCAGCATCTATCTCCAGGGAACTCCCTTTTATCCCTCTTTTCTATTTGTCAGATACTTTTCCCTGCTTCCTACACAGAGGCTGAGGTATGTGCATGTGCTTCTGGCTGAGTTCTGGCTCAGGAAAAACTCAGATAGTGCCAGGGAGTTGAGTCCCCAGGAATTTGATTAAGGCCTCTCTCAGGAGTTTCTTCTAGAAGCATCTGCTAGGCTATTCCAGAGTGTTCAAGTGCAAGTAGCTCATCCATCTAGATCCATCCCCACTCCAGTTTCAAGTAGAGACATTTGACAAAGAGAAACTGTCCCCAGGTCAGATAGCTCCTCAGTGCTTACCCCATATCTGACCAGGCCCCAACCTCAGCTCTTTGGCTTATACTTACCTTGAGGTACAATTTGGTGGAGTATGACTTGTAACTGCCGGAAGACTGAAGCAGTAAATCCTTGGACGGGCCAGGGCTGTCCTGCTCCTACTTGGCCCTTACAATCTAAGGGCAAAATAGTGGAATCAGCAAGCAGCTTGGCTCAAATCCCAGTGGAAGAGACGTAGCTAGTTTCTCTTCACTGGCATTCCTGAACCAGGCCCTTTCCCCTCTTCAGGTCCTCTTTTATCCAGTTCTCCTTTCCCCCATCACCACCTGCCCTGTTCTTCAGTCCCTGGGCCTCATTCACCCTTGGTGTAACTTCCACGTAGGAACCAAGCTTATAGGCAAAGAGCAGCCTGTGGATGTTCAGGTGAGGAGAGGCTCAGAAAGCTACCTCCTAGGATGGACAATCGATGGATGGTGTAGTACTGGAAGAAGGTGAGCTCCCTCTTAGGGAAGCTTTAGAAGGGTTAGGGGGAAGGCTTGGAATTTTTAGAGAAAGTATCATCACCTCAGTATCTTCAGGGAATTGGATCCAGGACCACCACCCCCGCAACAAAATCCACAGATGTTCAAGTCCCTTATAGAAAATGGCTTAGTATTTGCATATTATCTATGAACACTCTCCTGTATATTTTAAACCATCTCAATTACTTATAATATTAAGCAAAATGTAAATCATTGTTTACTGTATTGTTTAGGGAATAAAAGAAAAAAACCTGTACATGTTCAGTACAGACACATTTTTTCCAAATATTTTTGACTCACAATTGGTTGAATTAGAGGATGCAGCACTCCCTCATGCAGGACACGCAGACCCGGAGGGCCATCTATATTGGTATGTATAGGAATTGAGAGTATGGATACTTCTACTGAAAGCTAGAACTGTGCATAAGGGAAAGGTAGGTTTGAAGAAATACAGCCCCTAATGCCAAACACATCTTTCTTATCACAGATAGATGGGATAGGAAGTCCACTGAGGGCGGGTGTACTGGGGATTGAACCCAGGGGTGCTTTACCGTTGAGCTATACCCACAGTCTGTCTGTCTGTCTATCTATCTATCTACCTATCTATTTTAAGATAGGGTCTCGTTCAGTTGCAGAAGCTGGCCTCGAGTTTCCGATCCTCTGCCTCAGTCTCCTGAGTCCCTGGTAATTTCAGGCCTGCCCTACTGCATCCGACTTTTTTTTCTTTCTTTTTAAAACAAATCTATCATGGAATTATCATGAATCTTTCTAGGCATGTCTTAGAAAAGGGAATTCTTCCTCTTCATATGGAGCCCTAATAACAATTTCCTGGCCTCAGGAAGGAGTGAAACCTCCAGAACTCCATTGTGAAGCAAAAGAGCTTCAGGAAAGGGAGACGATTCTCGGAGGCCGAGATCCTACAGCGGTGACAGGAAACGCCCCGCTGAGACCCTGCGAGAGCCTGGCGCTGCCCATGGTGCTGGAGAGGCGGTGAAGCCTGGTGTGGAGGCGGAGCTGAGCTTGGCGGTCCTTCCCCCAGCACCCTTCCTCACACCCGCCACCAGGCCTCCTCCCATAGCTCTTTGGGAGTCTTGTGCGTAGATCTCTAAACCCAAGGATCGGGCAGGAAGAGTGGGCGCCAAACTAGGAGTTTGCTGCTCTCTCCCCCACGTGGTCTGGGCATTCTCGAGTCTGCGCAGTCCCTCTCCAACCGCGTGAGTCAGCGCTGCGTCTCCCGCGATGGCGCAGAGCAGAGTGGGAGGAAGAAGGATGTTCACCTTCCCCTCCCTCCTGATTTACCCGTCGTCACCCTTCCCTCTTTGGAAATCGGATCACAGTCACTAGACTGTGGGCCTACGCTGAGCCTTGGTCCGTCTCTCGACGTAGCCTTCTCTCTGGAGCCAGGACCCCATACCCGAAGACCAGCCCTCCTGGTCCCTTGCCAGTACCTAACCCAGGCCATCTCTTCCCCGGCCCCTCAGCAAGTCTGGCTTCTTCTGTAGCCGCCTTTTCACCCATTTGTCTTCCCGACCTCCTCCCGAATTCCCAGTCTTCCCTTGAGCCCGCTCCCCTTGGGACCAGACACCACAGACATCCAAGTCCACCTCTTTCTGCGATGCTCTCTGTATACATTCCTCTCTTCTCATGAGCCCGAACACATTATTTTCCTCCTGATTTTCCTAGCTTTGAGGCCTCCTGACCCTCTTCTCAGAATTGCTCTGGCCCTGCCCGCACCCCCCAGGTCTCCTCCTGACCGTGGCCACTAATGTCGCTGCAGCCCCCTGGACAGCTGTTCAACAGCAAGAAGCAGACGAGCAGGTGGAGCCCCCCGGGTCCCCCAGGCAACAGCCGGCGCTGCATCCTCTCGGGATCTACGCGCTCACTCCCCCGCTCTAAGTCCTAGTCAAAGTGGAAACAGCCAGCAGAGGGACTGTGCGGGGCTGTCTGTCGCTTTCCACCGGTTAGAGACGCGGGATGTGCGTAGCCCTCCTGGGCAACTCGGCCAATCGCTAGCGGGCCCTGCCCTGGAAGACGCCTACCCAATTTCTCCTTCCCCTTACCACCTCCCTCCACCGCGCACCTTCTGAAATTTCCAGTTCCGTTCCTTTTTATAATTTTTTAAAAATTATTTTAAAAAATTGTAGATGGACAAAATACCTTTATTCTATTTGCTTATTTTTTATGCTGTGCTGAGGATCGAACGCCCTGCCTCACACTAGCTAGGCAAGCGCTCTATCACGAAGCTACAACCCAGCTCCCCTACCCCACCCCACTCTTTTTTTTTTTTTAACAGAAACTGGGTCTCAAGGACCACCGCCTTTATTCCCAGTGCACCAGTCCAAAGTTAGAGAAAACAATCGCATGTAAGATGTAGGTGGGAAATTGTGCCTACCTCATGCGTTTGTTGTGAGTCATAAATATGAACTGAGACGGAACAGTAGACCCTCAACGAATTCAGTATATTTTTGTTATCCTTGACCGTTATTTTATCCTCAACCATCTGAAAACCTTTAGCAATCATATGGATCCGACCTGCAAAATATATTGCACATCCATCCACTTTTTTCCACATCTTTTGCCATCTCTTTTGCCAAACCACTGTACTATTTTATAGAGGTCTTGCAATAACTAACTGGCTAACTGACCACTTGCTTCCAATGTGTATTTGTATGATAGGTGTGAACTTTCTAAACCCTGGACTGGCATTTCAATATAAATTTTTTGTTGTACTCTGGACGTTTTAGGTTGACATTGTTAACGCTCTGAATTACATTATCTATCTTAAAAAAGGGTTGTTTGTTCTGGCAGAAAAATAATTTTTTTGTAGAAAGCCTTGATCCTACAGCCGGTCAGAACAGGAGTATTTCAGTTCTGCTTTTAATCCTCAGCCATATCCTTCAGTCTTGGGATATGGTAATTTCACCTTAGGTGTGGTCCTTTCAGAATTCTACAGGAAACCCCAAGGTGTTTACCAATGCCCTCTAATTTTATGGGTTCTGAACTCCAGACTTGATCTCCCTAATACTGTGGCAGCTGACAAAAATCCCTGTTCAGCTATTTGGCTTTCGTATTAGATTCTTTGAAATCTCACCCTGTACATGTGCCATTTAGAAGATTGATAAGGATTTGAGGAGAATTTGTAAGTAAATTTTGGAATCCCTCTCTGTAGATCAGTCATTTTCCCAAATTTCGACCTCAATTTCCAGGTTCTGTGACATTTTTGTACACCCAACTCTACTTCTCAGCCAGTAAAATGTCACTTCTGTAGTACACTTTCTCTGTGTACTACATACTACAGTATGAACTGTGAAGTATCTTTAGAGGGAAATCCTGTCAAATATGGGCTTCACCTGGTGAGGCTTCCCTTTTTCAAGGATTATAGACCCTCTCATTTTTCTTGCTTTTGGTTGGTCTCTATGCTTACATACAGTTATTTTTATTTTTATATTTGGTCTGGAGTTAATAGGAGGATCTGACACAGCTGTTTTGCCCTGCCACAAATTGGAAATTTATCTGGTTATCAGTGATTGTGTGCTAGACATATTATCTTTATTTTTTATTAGAGCATTATAGTTATACATAGTAACTGGGTTCACTTTGGCAAAATCACACCTACATGGAATTTGATTTCTATCCCCATTCTCCCCACTTTCCTTCACCTCCTCCATCCCTATATATTTTAAAATTTTTTAAATTTCTTTTTTTTAGTTATACATGACAGTAGAATTATTTTAACATATCATACGTGAGGTAGCGTTGCATGGCCATGTATGCATATATGAACGTAGGAAAGTTATGTCCGATTCATTTTACAGTTCCCTCTTCATATTCTCTTTCCTCTACAGATACTCCTTTCACTTGTTTATTTATTGATTTTTAAAAATAACTTTTTATTCTATTTATTTATTTTTTATGTGGTGCTGAGGATCTAACCCAGTGCCTCACACATGCTAGGCAAGCGTTCTACCCCTGAGCCCTAGCCCCAGCCCTATTCATTGATTTTCGATAGGTACTTTCTATATACATAAAGGGGAAATTCCCTTTAGCACATTTTTATATGCACAAAATGTGATTTGTTAAATTTATTCCATATTTCCTCCCCTTTCCAGTCCTTTCTTCCTCACTCTTGATCTATTTCTTCTACTCCACCTACCTTCCTTATATACTTATTATATTCAATTCCTCAACACCCTGTTTTCTTTCCCTTCTTTTGCTCTAGCTTCCACATATGAGAGAAAATAGTCAATCCTTGATTTTCTTTTTTATTTTTCTTTTCTTTTTGGTACCAGGCATTGAACCCAGTGGCACTTAACCACTAAGCCATATCCCCAGCCTATTTTATTTATTGAGACAGAGTCTCCCTAAATTGATTGCACAGGTCCTTGCTAAGTTGCTGAGGCTGGCTTTGCATTTGCAATCCTCCTGCCTCAGCTTCATGAGTCACTGGGATTATAGGCTCAACTACAACTCGATCAACCCTTGATTTTCTGAGTCTGGTTTCTTTCACTTACCATTATGGTCTCCATTTCCATCCATTTACCAGAAAATGCCATTATTTCATTCTTCTTTATGGCTGAGTAAAACTCCATTATGTATATATACCATATTTTTTTGATCCATTCATCTATTGATGGACAGCTGGGCTGATTCCATAATTTGGCTATTGTGAATTGTGCTACTATAAACATCAAAGTGGGGATATCACTAAGGTATGCTGATTTTAGTTTTCTTTCTTTTTTTTTTTTTTTGATAAATACCAAGGAGTGGGGTAGCTGGGCCATGTGGGGGTTCCATTTCTAGTTTTTTTGAGGCATCTCCATACTGCCTTCCAGAGTGGCTTACTAATTTGCAGTCCCACTAACAATGGATGGCTGTTCATTTTACTCCACAGCCTTGCCAAAATTTATTATTATTTGTGTTCTTGATAATTGCCATTCTGACCAGAGTGAGATGAAATGTTAGTGTTTTGATCTGTATTTCCTGATTGCTAGAGATGGACACATTATTTCTAATTAGTTTATGAAAAAATTTGAGGCCTAGGAGCAAGTGAGTATGAACCTGCTTTGAGAACTCCTGTTGGCCTTCAGGTGGGATAGGCACAGTAGGTATGTTCCTCTCTCCCTTCTAAGCTTTCAGTCTGCCAGAAGAATATCTATCAAAATATGTGCACAAGCACTGACACTACACTTCACTCTTGCCATTTATTGCATGGGGATTCCAGTGCTGAGGGCAATACCCTCAGAAGACAAGGAGATTCTATTGAACTTGGGGTCCGCAGGGGGGAAATTTCTTCCCACAGGATAAAAGACCCCCATGGGAAGATGTGTGGGGTGACATCAGTCTGGCAATCATAAGATAGTTTATGGTGCTCTGCCTATTCTCAGGATCCTTAGGTTGATGTTGTCTAATTATCTTATCAATAGATAACATTTGGAATGGAACCTATATTATAGGTGTCTTAAAATTGTGCATTTCCCTTTGTTTAACTTACTAAAAAAAATACATGTGTTAGTACATTGCACAAGGTTATTTTCATAAATGAGCAAATTTACAGAATTTCACGATTTTTGAGTGAAGATTTGCAGATTTCCTAGAAATTTGGGAATTACAATCTGGGGAAAAGCTAGCATAGCGCTTTACCACTGAGCTACAACCCCAGGCGCCTAGATTTCATTTGTACCAAGGACATGTGCTATGCCTTTTCCCCTCCTCAAATGTCCCCTCTGTATCTGTACTGGTCTTACACATTTTACTTCAGAGGCTCTGGCTGAGGCCCACTCTTTTGCTTCCAGATAGGTTCAAAGAGTTTCCACGAAAAATCCAATAGCAGTTTTTCCTAGAATGGTCCCCTGAGGGATGGTGCAAAGATAGGGAGGCCTTGATCTGTTAGTTTTACTTAGAGGAAAGAGCTCAGAGAAGCTCTAACGTGAAAGGAAAATGATGTTTGGAATTTGTGTGTTTACATGCCGGGTTTCCCCCTCCACAGTACAGAGCAGGCTGTAACTGCGGTCTTGGTTAGGGTAGATCTTGAGGCACAGTGACTCAGCAATTTTCTGACAGCTGGCCTCCCCTTGGCTCCCACGTCCTGAATCCCCTGCCCTACCCCCACACCAACAGCCCCAATTCCCAATTTTCCCTTAGGTATAGAGCTAGTCAAGGACCCTGAGCCTGGAGAAGAATGGCAGATTCTTGTTTTCATGCTTAGTAGCACCATGGTAACCAGTTTTCATTGTGGGAATCAGTCGTTTAATGCTAATGATGTCACCCCTACTGCCAATTCAGGCAGAAGAAGCACAGCTGCCATGGTGACAGGATTCAGAAGCAGGTGTTTGTTTTTTGTTTTGTTTTGTTTTGTTTAACATATGAGAATCTAGAGTCCCCTGAGGCTCAGGCTGCTCTGGCACAGTGCCTGGCCCACTGGAGGTGCTCAGCTGGACTGCTGTTGCTAAATTCAAGCCACCTCAGTGTTCCTTACACCAATACAATTCTTCCTCACAGGTCTAGCCATTCCATTCTCATCCATATCGTATGTTCTCCAACATTGTTATGGTAGCTTTTAAAATTATATGAGATATTCTATTCCCTTCCGTAAAATCCCCAGTGATTTTCTTCCGCACATTGCATAAGCTCTAGACCCTTTACTATTATCTGGAAATCCCTGTATGGTCAGTTTTGAGATTATTTCTCCAATCCTACTGCTTATCACTGGATATTCTTTTTGATCCTTTAACGTGCCCATTTGAGAACTAAAAAAAAATACAACAACTAAAATAAAAGGTCAATGGACGGGGGCTGGGGTTATAGCTCAGCAGTAGAGCACTTGTCTCCCATATGTGAGGCACTGGGTTCCATCCTCAGCACCGCATAAAAATAAATAAAATAAAGGTATTTTTTTTAAAAAGTCAGTGAATGAGCTCAAAAACAGAATTGGAACAATAGAATAGTCAATTC